CTACTACTACTAACTACTACTACTACTACTACTACTACTACTACTACTACTACTTCTACTACTACTACCACCACCACCACCCCCACAACCACTAGCAACAGCAACAACAACAACAACAACAACAACAAAAACAACAACAACAACAGGAGCGAATAAACAAACAAACAAAAAACAACTTCAACAACGCCACCGAATCATAAAGGGTTAACGGTCTTGTCTTTCTTCAAAACCTCCTTTTTAACATTTCAAGTACATTTAATTCGAGTAATATAGACACACAAAAGGTTCTTTGTTAACATCCATACGCTCGTTGCACAAGAGTATTTAGCCTTATATTGACACAATAATGCAGGATGATGCAGCACTCTAGATGAGACATCCCCGTAGGCGATAAATAATAACATAATCGGTGCAAGTTAGATGCAGAAATTTGGATATTGAGAAAAAAATCCCTTTGAAACCCCCCCAAACCAGAAAAGAAAGAAAGACTGAATGAAACCCTTACAAAAAAACAATAACAAAAAACCCCGCGACAAAACGACGTAGAGCTAAGTCGTAATCGAACACTTTATGCCACCATCTTTGAAAATTACAGAAAAGAAACGTGAAAGTTGAAGCATACTATTATGAGACGCAGTGTATGAGCAAAAAAAAGTACTTACAGGTGCAAAGGTGTGATATTGCATGACGATGTGACTTTTGTTTAATCAATGGTTTTACAGCACTTGCAACGCGATAGGGTCATATAAATGCCGAAGATTAGAGATGTTACAGTCCCGCACTCATGTGACCTTATGCAGTTGCGAGCGCGGTAAAACTCTTACTAAAAACCCAGCGATGTTACAAGAGAACCCAGAAAAAAAACGAACAGAACTAAACGAACTAACCCAGTAGTGTTGACAAGGGCGTAAAACCTATACCATTTCCTATTTTCCAAAAACAGAACTAACTTTCCTACCTTCTCCGTATGCCTGAAGACCAGGACCTCCACTAGAGTGGCGAGACTGCCGATAGCCAGACCGATAGTCAGGATGATGAGAGCTCCGGAGAAAGAGCCCAGGTCAACCTGGGAACCAAAACACAAATAGAATTACACATACAATTAAAAATGACTATCTGTTTCTACGTAAGATGAGGTGATGGATAGGGAGGAGATGGAGGAGGAGGTTGAGGTAGAGGAGGAGGAGACGGAGGGGGGAGAAGAAGTGGTGGAGGAAGAGGGAATGGAGGATGTTAGGAGGAAGTGGAAAATGGAGAGAGAAGAAGAAGAAGAAGAAGAAGAAGAAAAAAAAAGAAGAAGAAGAAGAAGAAGAAGA